TTATTTGTGATAAGGCCTTGGGCCAGGAGCTTATATGAGGGCTTGGCCCCTCACAAGCATTTTGTTCTTTGTACTTGGTGTCTTTAACATGTGTTTATTCTCTAAAATAGGGGGCTTTGGGCCGTTTGGATAATACATTCGTGAGTCATGAGGGCTTGGCCGCTCTAATATCACTTGTAAAATTTTACCAGGTGATGTACATTCCAATGTCAAGGGACCTCAGTTCCTTTGAGGCGTTTTAGTTTGTAAGTCCCTGGTTTGATGATAGCTGTCACGACGTATGGGCCTTCAAATTTTGGAGCCATCTTGCCGCCTTCGGTTGGTTGACTTGCTTCCCTTCTTCGGAGGACGTAGTCCCCCACCTTGAAATCTCATGAACGGACCTTTGTGTCGATGTAGCCTTTCACCTGTCTTCGGTAGGTTTCCGCCCTTAGGAAGGCTTGCTCCCGGCGTTCTGAGATCACGTGAAGGTCGAGGGCCATGTTGGCGTCGTTGACCTCAATCTCATATTGGTCTACCCTTCGGGTAGGAAGGGTTACCTCAGTGGGAGCTTTCGCCTCGAATCCATAGCAAAGGGAGAAGGGTGTTTCGCCTGTTGTCCTCCTAGGCGTGGTGCGGTAGGCCCATAAGATGTTGTGGAGCTCTTCTGCCCAGCCTCCCCTTTGGCTTCCAGGTTCTTCTTTAGCCCCTCCAGCAGAGTTCGGTTGGCGTTCTCCACTTGCCCGTTGCCTTGACGGTAGGCAACGGATGAGAATGTGTGCTTGATGCCCCATGCCTCAAAGAGGGCGCAGAAGGGGGCTACCTCAAATTGAGTTCCGTTGTCGGAGATGATTTGCTGGGGGATGCCAAACCTTGTAAGGATGTTCTTGAGGACAAAATGGCGGCACTTGGCCTCGGTAACGCTGGCGAGGGGCTCAGCCTCTGCCCACTTGGTGAAGTAGTAAATGGCGACGGTGATGTACCTGTTGTTGGAGGTACCCCTCGGCAGTGGGCCTACTAGGTCAATACCCCACTTGGAGAAGGGTATTGTTGTGCTGATAGGGGCGTAGTTAACCGCTGGCCTCCCGGGAGCTTTCTGGAAATGCTGGCATGCGGCGCACCTTCGGGCGAGGTCCACACAGTCTCGGGCCATTGTAGGCCAGAAGTAACCTTGCTCTATGAGCCTTCGGGACATGGAGAAGGGTCCTTAGTGAGCTGAGCAAGTGCCGTTGTGCATTTCCTCCATTGCAACCTCGGCTTCATCTTGATGAAGGCACCGGAGTAACGTGCCGTTGTAGGATTGCTTGTAAAGCCTTCCATCTTCGATGGTATAGCTGGGAGCCCTCAGCTTTTCTAGTTTCGCGCGGGTTTTATCCTCGGGCAATTGCCCTGTGGAGATGAAGTTCATGATATCTGACACTCAGTCATCAGGCCTTTGGTGTATCTCCATGATGGGGCTGGCGTGTATGCTTGAGAGGCTGAGTTCCTCAATTCTCGCAATCTTCAAGAGGTGCTCTGGGGACTCGGTTGAGAGTTTTGATAAAATGTTGGCCTCAGAGTTTTGAGCCCTCGGTATTTGAGTAAGAGAATGTGCCTCAAATAACTTGAGCAACTCTTTGCCCGCTTCTTTGTATTGCTTCATTGATACGATCGTAATTTCCATATTTATGTTTGTGTTTTTAATTAGTTTTGTTTGACCTTTACTTTGGAAATTACACACTTTTGGTGTAATAGATTAGTTTGTTAAATTCTTGTAAATAGGTTAGATTAGATTTATTCTGAGCTCAAACAGGTATTGATCACTCGAAGTACAGTTGGTGAACCCAAAAAGTGGAAAGAAAGTGCAAAAGTTCAAAGACAAAAGAAGATCCTGAATTTTGGTCTATACTCGATCGAGCATTAGCTATACTCGATCGGGTATTAGGTTGGAACTTCAAATCGGATCAGATCCGAAGACAAGGGAACATGCCGGGAAGATTTCGGCCACGATTTTATGTCTATACCCGATCGGGTAGACCGACATACCCGATCGGTTATGCCTTTGAATTTCAAACGAAGATCGGTCGAGTATGGTCCGAATACCATTTTCTAAGCATACTCGACCGGGTATTCATATATACTCGATCGGGTATACTCTTAGAAAATAGCCTGAAACCGGTCGAGTATGCCTCGGATCGAGTGTTACACACGTACTCGATCGGGTACCATGTATATACCCGATCGAGTACCCGAATCCCATCCCAAAAGCCTATAAATACACCTCCTTTCCTTCACAAAAAGGGATCCAATTCCTTTGTACATCTAAGCTCAGTATAGAATAGCTCTTTCTTTATATTTTTCATCATGTTTAGTCTCCAAATGAGGAGCTAAACTCTTCCATCTTGGTTTTGCTACTTTGAAGCTTAATGAATTTGTAAGTTGTGAGTTATTTTCTTTAATCTTCTTCCTTGAATATTAATTCTTTCTTTCAAAATACTATCTCTATATCAAAGTTGGGGAGTGTTACTAAGATGACAATTAGTTAACATCTTGACATTGGTTATACTAATAACTATTTCTTCCTCTATGTTAATATTGGGGAGTGTTACTAAGATGACAATTAGTTAACATCTTGACATTAATCATAGTAGGATTCATATTCTTTAATATTCTTCCTTGAGTATTAATTAATTCCTATTCATATTTCATGTTAATATCTTAAACATTACTTAAAGTATCACCTAGTATTGTTTCTCATATTAATTATTACTAGAAACGATCGGTTAATATGCTTGTTATTAATCCGGTTCTTTCAACGGTAGTAAACTTGGAATATTAATGCATGCATCTCATGATTAATATGCCAAGGGGAATTAATTATATTGATTAAACCAATAAACCGCTTGTGTTGAGGTTATCAATCTCAATCGTTTTCATCTTAAGTTTATTGCTACTATCAAGTTAATATACGGCGCTTGTTCTATATTGACTCGATAGTAAGTTTTATTAATGAACGCATCTCGTTATTAATAACTACCCTCGATGAACTGGATATACTCCTCGATTGAGTATTCGAGAGGAAGATAGTTAAAGATATAACCGGGATCGACGAATATTTCATTAAGTGGATAAAAGCAAAACCAAGTCCTCATCTCAATTAATTAAACTCATATAGGTTGTTTATCTTAGTGTTGTTAAAACAAACAAATCTAAACCCCCCTTTGTTACTACTTTTATAAAAGAAAAGTATTCCTTTCCCTATGGATACGAACCTTACTACACTATACTACGTATTAGTGTTGTATTGATTATTTATTTTGAGTGCACCTAACGACAAGTGCACGTCAAATTTGGCGCCGTTGCCGGGGAAAGGCAATTAATTTTTCTTTTATTTCATATCAAGAAAAATCAAAAAAAAAATATTAAACAAAAATATAAAGAGTTCTTATTTCTTCTATTTCTGAGCTTAGTGGAGTTTATGGTTAAACATCGTTCCATAAACAAAATCACATATCAAACAAACCCAAAAATAGAACAAACTTTCGAACGGTTGAAAAGTAAATTTTCTAATACCAACTCGGAGGAATCATCTATCAGAGATTCATCCAGCGCTAGTTCTCATTCTAGCGAGACCGAAGAGTCAATAACCATGGCTCTTGAGACAAGAACACTACGGGAGCTCACTGCTCCAAATCTCAATCAACAACCATTATGTATTACCTTCCCTACACTCGATGAAGGTAATACATTTGAGCTAAAATCTGGGCTCATACATCTACTGCCATCCTTCCATGGCCTAAGGGGCGAGGACCCAAACAAACATCTCTCGGAATTCCATATTGTCTGCACAAGCATGTGCCCAAATGGAGTCACCGAGAAACAAATCAAGTTGAGGGCTTTTCCATTCTCCCTCAAAGACACGGCAAAGGATTGGTTATTTTATCTCCCGTCAGGGAGTATAGATACATGGGCATCAATGAAAAAGTGCTTCCTAGAAAGGTACTACCCTGCATCCGTCTCATCATCTTTGAAAAAACAAATAAGCAACATCGAGCAAAAAGATGATGAGACATTATATGAGTATTGGGAGCGTTTTAAAAAATTGTGTGCTAGCTGCCCATATCATGATTACACAGAGCAAGACCTCATCCTCTACTTCTATGACGGTCTTGCGGAGCAAGATAGACGCCTGGTGAACGCAACATCTGGAGGGGGAATTGTCAACAAAACTCCTTCCCAAGCTAGGAACCTCATCTCGGAGTTGGCCGAGAATTCTAGACACTACATGTGACACCCCAAATATTTAAATAAAAATAAAAATAATTTTTATTAGTCAGATAAAATATCACAGAAATGACATTTTAATTATTAAGTGAGTCAAACAAAAATTCAACAATTGTAACATCCTAATCAGATAAAAATTTGCAAAAGTTATGACGTCTTAGTCACATAAAAATATTTCAGTAATAGGAACAACATTTTATGAAACAAGTGAACCAGACAGAAAATTAACAATTGTGACATTTTTAGTCAGATAAAAATGGTCCGATAAAAGAAGTAATATTTTATACCAGATACCAATTATACATATCACATAATAATTATTCTTTTAAATTTGTGTATAAAATATAATATACTCCTAGCCATGCTTAAAATAAAGATGGAAAGTCTTTATTGTGACCACATCATACATGTCATCATACACACATATACATATGATATATCTATACACATACATAACCATACATACTATAAATACGTTAGTAATAATAATGATAATAAGTATTAGTAATACGTAGTAGTAACAAAATGAAAAGGGTTTCACCGTAGTAGCAAGATATACGTAGTAGTATATATATGGAATGGAATGAATACGGAGTATACATAACGTATTTAACGGAGGGAGTAAGTTTTTGAACTGCTGCATGTAATACGGAGTACTAAATGAAAAGGGTTTCACCGGTCGAAACCGTAAAACCATGAAGAGATGCATGTGAGTATAAATACCCAGCTCCCTGCACAAAACCTACGAACAACACAAAAGAGAAGAGAGAAAGAGAAGGGAGTGAGCTGTTCCGGAGGAGCTGGTTTGAAAGCTCGCCGAGGGAGAAGTAGATTGCCGGAAACGAGCAGCTACGCCGGAGGAGAAGCTCTTGGGCCGGAGAGAAAGGAATCCGATGCGGTGCCGTCCCTGCGCGCCGGAGAAAGAGACCACTTCCCATCCGTCACTGACTCACAAGCAGAGGTAACCGTACGTGCCAGACTGTTTCTTCGCCGGAGCAGAGGAGCCTTGCCGCCGGACTGGTATCCACGTCGGAGAATGAAGAAACGCTGCTGTCGTCGGACTACCTTGCTACCATCGGACCGGACTGTTGCTACTGCCAAGGAGTATCGCAGCCAACGACCCGCCCTGCTGTCACCGTCGGAAATCGTCGTCTACGCTTGCGGGCTGGGAGTCATCGACGAGGAAGATGACTTTTCTTCTTCTTCTATACGAGTATGTAACTTGTCAGCGTTCTCCGTATTACGTTTATTATTGGGCCGAATTAATAATAAAGATAACCAATTATGGGCTATATTTGAGTTTTGGGATTAATAAATTCAATGTGTTGGCTGGGGTCTTATTACATTCGGGCCGCTGGTCTCTTTAAGAAAGTATTGGCTAAAATTGGGCTAATAACGGGATGGCCGAAGATTATATTGGGATGATTATAAAAATAATAGTAATACAATAATGATTGGATTAAAATAAAAGTGGGTTGAATTGGGTAAATTAATAAAAGTAGAACTAATTATGAAATTGTAATTAGAAGGTGACTCTACCTAGAGACCGGAGTAAAAGACGTGAACTAGGAGCGTCACCAAGTTGAGGTAAGTTTCTCTGCCAATCTAAAATTGTTTCCTCGTATTATATGCTGATTATGCATTATGTGAATAAGTGTGAATTGTCGAATTTTGTGTATGTGATTTTTGAAGAGATATTATATATATGGTAGTTGAGAAATATAAATTAAGTACTTTTGGGGTATTAAATATTTTTAAATACCTTCAAGACTTTTTAGAGAAATTGAGAAGTATTTTTGAAGTATTATTTATTGAAGATAAAATTTACATTTTCATAGCAAGTGAGCATCTCGGGAGTAATCCGAGGTGTCGGTTTTCCGCGTCCGGATAAATGTGGAGGGTGATTAGGTCTGCTACTACTTAGAAGTACAGTTTGAGTTTAAAAGTGATATTTGGATCGATGATCCCTTTTAAGAAGAAGTTATGGTAGTAGTAGTCCCTAATCATTCAAGATATCTTATTCAGGGGTAGTTGGTAGACTGAGTCCCGACTACTCGTTACGACTTACTACTCGGGGGGCTTGGAATCCCTTTTAGGGGGTGTGCACACTTAAGGTAGTCGTTCCGTTTCCAACAGAGCAGTTGTGGTACCGGCACTTGTTCGGGGTGGCCGTCCGTAACCACGGTCCACCGGGCTCTACCGAAAGGTTGAGCACCGCCCTTCTAAATTACTAGGAAGTTAGAGAAGAAGTGATTTTTGAGGAAATCAAAGAGAAGAGTTATTATGAAGTTTTAAAGAGAAGTTGAGGATTTTTGTGAAGAAGTAGTTTTGAGAAAAATCAAAGTGAAAAGAATTTCGATGGTGTGAGTATTTTTTATATATTATTATATAAAGATTTATTTTAGTCAAACATGATTATTTTACGAGGTTGGGTAGTACTTACTTAGCTCTAAAGCTAATTTTTGTCTTCTTTTCCTTGTTTTGTTCTGCACTTTATTTGTGCAGGTGAGGTTGATTCTGTCGATTGATGATTGCTTGCATGGCCCGAGAGCGAATTAGAAGTCGCCTTAGTTATACTAGTTATGAAATAAACATTTACTTTACAAACACTTTATTTTTATTAAATTAGTTGTTATGTTTTAGTTGCCTGTGCATCCGGATGAGAGATGACCGGATGTGGCGGTAACACCCATTTCCCTATTAAGACTTCCGTTGTATCTCTGATGTTTTCAAATAAAGTTGATAATTCCTTTGAATAAATCATCATTTAAATGTATTTTTGGGCGGGAAATTTGGGGGTGTTACACTACAATGGGAGGTCGTCATCAAAACGGGTCATGGCAGCGGAATCCAACATCTCGTTGGAAAGTCAAGTAGCCGGCTTGACTTCTTTGGTAAAGGATTTCCTTTTAAATCCAAAACACCAAGAAGTCAAGGTCTGCGGCATATGCTCAACACAGGGGCACCCCACCGATTCCTGCCCAACACTACAAGAGGAGAATTCCGAGCAAGTCAATGCTTTGGGATTTCAAGGCCAAAAGAGGTATGATCCACACTCTAACTCCTACAATCCTTGGTGTAGAGATCACCCGAATTTGAGGTATGGGAATCCTCAAAATCAGCCCTTGCCACCAACTTTCCCAAAGCACCAAGGCCAGACGTCAAGCTCAAGTATGTCCACCGAGGACATGATCCGAGCACTCACCTCAAATGTCTCAACCATGCAACAAAACATGGTTCAATTTCAGCATGAGACCAAATCCAGCATTCAGAATTTGGAAAGTCAAGCCAGTCAAATTGCAAATGCCGTGAACCGACTTGAAACAAAAGACTCGGGTAAACTCCCATCTCAAACGGAGCAAAACCCGAGACAACATGTGAATGCTATAAAGTTGAGAAGTGGAGCAACGTTGAAAGAGGTAGAAGAGAACGATGAAGAGACTGAGGGTGTGGACCCTGAAAAAGTAGTCCCACCGGAGGAGGAGCTCACAGAAACCAAGCTCCCCCCACCCTCATCATACGAACAAGAAATCCCATTTCCTGAGGCGCTGAAGGAGACGAAGAAGCTGGAAAAAGATGCCGACATCTATGAAACCTTCGCAAAGTGTGAGGTAAACATTCCGCTTCTTAACTTAATGAAAAATGTCCCTCGTTTTGCTAAATTCTTAAAAGAATTATGCAAAACAAAAAGGAAAGATAAATTGAAGGGGAAACAAGAGGTTAGAGTTAGTGAACACGTCTCGGCCATTTTTCAGAGAAAACTCCCCGAAAAATGTAACGACCCAGGCATGTTCACTATCCCTTGCAAAATAGGAAACACCACATTTCCTAAGGCCTTGTTGGATTTAGGGGCATCAATAAATGTCATCCCCTATTCTGTTTATAAAACTCTACAACTTGGCCCATTACATCAAACAGGTGTAGTGATTCAACTGGCAGATCATTCTAGTACTTACCCGAAGGGTGTAGTAGAAGATGTGCTAGTAGAAGTAGAAAATATGGTCTTTCCTGTTGACTTCTATGTCCTTGAAATGGGAACTGATGACCAAACAACACCCATCCTTTTGGGTAGACCCTTCATGAAGACCGCAAAAACGAAAATTGACGTTTCTAGTGGTTCACTAACTTTAGAGTTCGATGATCAAAAAGTGGAGTTCAACATCTTGGACTCTACGAAAAAACAAATGCAAAATCCAACTCTGTGTTCTTTACATGTTGTTGAACCACAAGAACCGCTGTTTTTCAAAGAAGCGGATAGAATCAGATTTCTTCAAGAAGAGAAAGATAAACGAGAGAAGTCATTCATCCACGACACCATGACCGCACATCACTCAATTCCTCGACGAAGTGATGATCCACATTACTCCGCTCCAAAGCTTCTCTACTTCAAGACTGACAAAAACCCCGTCACCGGACTGCGGATCCCTGAGTCCCTGCTCAATCTTGCCAATCAAACAAATCCTGCAGTCCTACAGTATAGAGAGAGTGTAGAGAGAACAGTCCCTATGGTTCAGCAAAACCCAGCTGGACCTACCCTGGGGACACAACCGAGTGAACGTGAGGGTCCTAAGAGAGCCCAAAAGCCACGAAAACCAGTGGCCCGTCCGCCTTATGAAGGAAAGTCTGACGACTCTCTCGAGAAGAATCAGACGGCTGAGGGCACCTCATCGGACGCTGAGGAATCTGCTGATGAATCGTCCAGTGCTGCCCACACTAACACTGACGATGAGGCCGGCATCCGATAGCGTGAGTACTGATGGCGATGATTCAAATTCTGATGATGACGATGATGATAGTGACAATGTCGAGCATACCTATGCTCTGATCAAAAAGGGTAAGCTGTCTGCCGAGTCTCCAAAAAGGATAACCGCTGAAGACGCAGCACCCATAATCGCCGGCCGTCCCAAGACGTTCACCATAAAGGACGTACAACAATCCCAAAGTGTACACAAAGAAATCTGCAGCTCCAAGGCTGACTACGATGAAGCAGCACACGTCATCAAGAATTCTCAGGATGCCATCATCCGAGAGAAATGGGCAAAAATCAAGAACGACAAATCCTCTAAGCCCAAGCCACAGCCTCGCATCAGGAAGAGCCTAATAGATCAGGCTGATGAGGACATTTTTGTTGGTTGTGAACCCTTTATCCAGATAAGCCGAGCTGAATCCCTAACTACATGAGCCGATCTTTCCAGTTCCCGAGTAGAAGCCGCAACATCTGGCTCAACTGCGCATGCACAACCCTTCTCCAGCCACTCGTTAACCTCCTAACAGGCTATCGTTTCAACATCACAGGACTCACCCACCTCTCTGGTTCCTTTCGAATCAGTTGAGCGAACTGGTGGCCAACCGCCTGAGGCCACAACCCCTCCTTCCCACACATTGAGTCTAGGTGTCACACTTCCCACATTTTCTTCTTTTTCTAGGACACCTACACTATTCACTGCACATACCGGTGCACCCACCCTGAACACAACGACCAGAGTGCAAGCTATGACAGTCGGAAGTCCTGCTATGCCTACAATGATTCCATCATTGAACACAGGCCACACATCAGCTATCTTCACTGATGTTGTGACAACAGTTACAATCCCCGTAACTGGCCATCCCACCTTTGAAGATATCAACGTTCTCCTGAATCGCTTCCTGGATTCCACCATAAAACCATGGGTGCAAGAAGCAATGACCGCTCTTGCACAGGAATTTAGGACCACCCAAGCGGTTCAGCCTGAACATCCCGCACCCCAACCTGCACCCCAACCCTTCATCTCTCATACCCACCCGATATCTTCCTTAGCCTTCTCTCACCACTCTATCAACCAACTACCCATCTCTTCACCTTCTCGGGGCACCCATGATACACAACCAGTATTATCCCCACACCTGACTACACCTACCATCGATCTCCTGTCATTACCCTTCGACACCTTGGCATCGGCTATGCTGGACCATCTCCTCAACATACCGCAAGCCAACCTCACCCCCTACCAGCAAGCCATCCTCAATTCCCTCCTCTCTTCACCTGAGACCAAGAGCAAATGCCATGACAGTCCTCGTGGTCGCAAACGTTCCCATGAGGACCCCGACGATTCGGATCCTCATGAGGGGGAGAACAAGCGGCCACGAACACTCGAGCAAACTGCTTTCACCAGCCACACTCCACAAGCCGATCAACCTGAAACCTCCACCAACCAACAGCCACCCGTAGCCAACCAAACCCAAACCAAACTTTCTAGCCTGGTCGAGCTAGATGAAACATCCTGAGGCGTATCTCCTAAAGATACCAACCGAGTAGGGGATGGAAGTCCTGATGATGCTACTATAGGTACATCTTGTAAGTCAGGCCATTAGTTAGAACCTCGTTCGAAGCTGATGACAACGGGAAATCCTAGTGACCCCGGTGTCCCAGGTAACAGGTCTCCGTCACTACCAAATCAACCAGCTTCTACCACTACGTCATCAGACGCAATGCATGATCAAATTGAGGACATCATCATTTATGACAAATGGCCAAGACAGTGGACGGAGATGGATCAGATAATGCAAGATGAAGAACAACAAGACATGCAAAAGAGCTGGCTCTTACGGGAACTGATAAACAAATGTGCGGAGGATATAATCAGACTCGAGGATGAGGAACGAAAGGAAGGGGAAAATTACAAGGAAACTCAAAAAGAACTTGAATCTGTAGTTAGACAAACGGCGGGACGACTTCCCAAGACAGAGAAACCATGGGAAAATGTACGCATCAAAGCCCCCCTCCAAGAGGAAATCAGAGAGCTTATATGGCGTAGACCGGAGAAAGTCAGACCTCTGAATGAATTAAAGCTGCGGGGGCTCACTCATCTAAAAGGCAAGCAGGCAGGAGGTCATCTTCATATGCTGATGCAGCGGTCAACTGGGCCTCAACGAGAGCTGTTAGAAAAGGATCTGAAATCCAATATTCATCCAATTCATCAAATTCTAAAGGTCAAGTTTGAGGATTATCATGGAGTGAGATTCTACTCATACAAACTTCAACGCACCGATGGAAGTGAATTCACATGTCAGGAAAACGACTTTATCATGCTCAAACCAGATGACATCTACCAAATGTTTATGGCATACAGATACCTCCCAGTCAGAAAAAGCAGAACATACAGCGAAGGCCTCGCAACAATTAAGAGGTTCATGCTTAAACAAGTCAGAGCCCACTCATCTCACGACCTACAGATGGCTATCGAGTGCAACATGACAAAGACAATTTAACACAACCAAGACTGTATGGTCCAGAGCTCGAGGACTTCCCTGCATATCACATCTTCTTCACACCACCAGCAGTTACATATCTAAATCACAAGAATGAAAAACGTCTGATGATGATTAGCGAAGTTGAGAAATACTGTGATGGAACACTGAAGATCATCAGAGAACAGTTGCTGAAGATGAAGAAACAGCTGGATCAAAAACTTGAGGAGGCATCATCAAACATTCTTAAGGAACATTCGACGCTGGAAGCCATTCTAAAATTCATTGACGATCGCCTGGACAAGAGAAACATGCTGAGACAATACGAGCACGCGCTAAACATGAGGAAGCACTACTACAAAGCTCAGAAGCAATAACAAGATGACACTTGATCACAAAGGGGGAGATTGTTGAAGATCATTTAATTGTGAATCAAGTTTGTCATATATCTTGTAATAGATTAGCTTTATTATATCCTTTGTATTTAATATTTGTATTTATTAGGATATAAAGGATATGGGGC